ATTTTTTAATTTGGAAGTCTAGCTCTGTAGAGGTTAATAATTTTCCCTTTTCTACTACATATGCAGTTAGGGCACATAGCACAAGTAAAGGAATTGAATTGTATAACATGGGAAATTTTTCTCAGACGTAGATGTGTAAACATTGATGTTTTTTTTCACTTAAATTTTTAACCAGGGGTAAAAATTCTTCATTAAAATAACCAATATAACTCATTAATTCACTTAGAAATTCAAACAGATAGATCCCTAGTAGTGCCTACTGTTAAAAAAAAAAAATCAAATACACGAATTTCTACCTAATTAATTTTTCTACTTGTGAAATGAACTTTTTTATTTTATCTCAGTTATGACGTATCTGGCATCAAACAGCATAAGAAATTATCCATCATTTTTTTTCTGGACTTGTAACTTCAAACTCTTTTCAAGATTCAGTTAAAGAACAATTGTAAATTCTGAGCATAAACATCATTTCTTTGCCTCTATAACACACTGTATTCGTTTGCTAGGGCTGCTGTACGAAAGTACCACAAACTAGGTAGCTTAAACAACAGTTTATTGCCTCGCTGTTTCTAAAGCTGGGCGTCTGAGGTCAGGCGGGCAGCAGGGCCAGGCACCCTCTGAAGACACTGGGGAAGGATCTGTTCCGAGCCTCTCCGCTAGCTTCTACTGGTTTACTGGCAATAGTTGACTTCCCTTGGCTTGTAGAAGTGTCACTCCAATCTCTGCCTTCATATTCACATAAATTACTCCCTGTGTGTGTGTGGCTGTCTGTTTCCAGATTTCCCAGTTTTATAAGGACACCAGTCATATTAGAGTAGGGGCCCACACAACTCCAGTATGATCTCATCTTAATAAACTACATCTACAGTGACTCTATTTCCAAATAAGTGTGTCACCTCTTGAAGGACTGGAGTTTAGAACTTTTAACATGTGAACTTGGAGGGAAAACAATTCAACCCATAATACAAACTGTGAAGAGTTCTAATTTTTTGATTATTGATATATGTTTTATGAAAATAAAATATTTTTCTAATATAAAAGAACTTCCCAAAGCACCAGTGGTTCTTATAATTTTCCCATTTGGACTTGAAATAAATGAGAGAGTGAGATAAGTATGTGCACATATTTGTTTTGGCCTGAAACTTCCTTATCAGTTCTTCTCCGTGAGAAATCCTTGAACAATTGAGCAAGGGATTTATTTTCCATCCCTGCTGTTTCTCTCTACCCTTGCTGTATTCCCAGCAGGTTGACTTTTGGTCAGGCTTGCTGTGCATGTATGTGTGCATAACTAGTCAGCAATGAGCGTGTTCCAAGTGGTAGCCTGATCCCTTCAGATGCCACCACCAAGTACAGTGACAGAGGTAATTTGCTGCTCCTCACTTCACACACAAATAGAATTACCCAATACCTGTGAGACCTACTGTGCAGAGATAGGTGTAGCTGTTAATGACCATACTTTTTGACCAAAGAAGAGAGTAATTATATTTTCTTTTTCTGCCCTGAACCCTTTTTCTACTCTGCTCACTTCCCTCTGCTACTTTAAACCATCACTTTGTCAATCAACACCAGTACGCTACCCTTCTTTCTTTTCTTTCTCCTTTTCTCCTTGGTCTCCATTTCACTTGTCACTCTGTTCAGGCATCAAAGCTTTCACTTAACAAGGCTGGATTTTGCAGACACCTCAAGCCAGGCAGAACACTGTTTTTCTTTTGTGTGGTGACACAGCCTATCACCACAAAGGAGGTGTGATCTTCCACTGTCTTTCTCAGCTTGCTCCATGGAATGGTTGCTTGGGGACTCCTTTAAGACATTAAAAACTATTTAGACTTAGTCGTTATTGCGTGGCCAGAGCAAGTTTCAAAACCTTAGGATTTTGTAAGTGAGGTTTCTTAATTGCCTTTATTTTATAGCTTTCTGTACTGTTTTCTCTTTTCTGAATCCCAGTAATCCCTATATGCCCAGTATTATGAGTATTTTTCCTATCAGATCAAAGATTTGACTGATAGAGTTTTATAACGTTCTAGCCGCTATATGGGCTTTTTACAATTTTAGAGCCTGATCTGAGTACCTACTACAGATTTTAATTTTTTCAATTAGGTACCAATGAAAATGCCTCCTAAACCAAGCTGTATTTGTGAATATCTACCGACTGGTATAATCAGAACAATCTGGAGAGATGAATGTTGGGGATGGAACAAGTATTGTGACATCATAGGAAAATCCTTAAAATTCTATAACTTCATTATATTCTATACCTTATTATTTTATAACTTCATATTCTATACTTAGTAGTGGAAGAGATAGCCTACATGTGACTAGCTCTGGAAAGTTTTATCAGGCCAGAAAGTGTAGTGCTATAATGAAAAAACTCATGAGACACACACAAGCCCAGATAAGACTCTCTAAGAATGGACTAGCACTAAGGCAAGAAGACGTTTTTGGTTTTTTTTTAAACTTTTAATTTTAAGATCATCATAGATTCATATGCAGTGGTGAGAAATAATATGGAGAGAGTCCTTGTACCCTTTACCACATATTCCCCACTGGTAACATCTTGCAAAATTATAAAACAATATCATACCCAGGTTATGGAAATGATTTAATCAACCAATCTTATTTGCATTTCCATAGTTTTACTTGTATGTGTATATGTGGGTGTGTCTAGTTCTGTGTAACTTATCACCTGTGTAGGTTCATGTATCCACCACCATAATGGAAATACTGAACAGGTCCACCATCACGAGGATCCCTCATGTTGCCCTTATATATTAACCAAACTCACCTCCCTCTACTTCCTCCTCCCCAACCTCGGGCAGCTCCTAATCTGTCATCCATCTCTAAAATATCATCATTTCAAAAGAGTCAAATAAATGGGATCATACAGTATATGCGGGATTGGCCTTGGGGATGGTCTTTTTTTCCCACTGGGTATAATTCCTGAAGATTCATTCAAGTTGTTGCCTATATCAATAGTCTGGTTTTTCAAATTACTCAGTAGTATTCCATAGTATGAATGTACCATGATTTGTTTAACCACTTTCTCATTGAAGGACATCTGGGTTATTTCCAGTTTGGGGCTGCTACAAATAATGTTTCTGTGAATATTTGTAAACAGGTTTTTATGTGAACATACGTTTTCATTACTTTAATATGAATGCCCAAGGGTACAATTTGTTGGGCTGTATGGGAAATGTGTGTTTTGTTTTATAAGAATCTTCTACACTTATATTTCTATCAGCAGTGTTTGAATGACCTAGTTTCTCAGCATTCTTGCCAGCATTTGGTGTTGCCATCATATTTTATTATCCATAATTAATTTCTTTTAGACTTAGCACAGTCCTTCCCTTCTGAGTATGCATAATTGCTACTCATATTTCTGCTTAGACTCTCAGTGTAAAAATACTCTTTGGAGGTCAGAATCATCATTTGTTATTAAAAATCCATGGACATTTATGATCTACTAACAAGGGTTGTCAGGTGAAGTTGGCTTACTAATTCTATTAAGTTTTCTAGGGTCCCTTGAAGGCACAGACCAAGTTTTGCTTAAAATTGTGTCAGAATTTCAGCATGGAAGTAAAAACTGTGTAGTTGAACAGATATTAGACCCTTAATAGGTGTGTTACACCTAAATCATTAAAGTAATTACTAAAATTAAAAACTGAAAATTGTTAGTACTTCCAGAGTCAAGTGCCAAAATGAATGTAGAATTTCATACAGGCTCACTTGATTGTGGAAATATTTTTGTTTGATACATAACCCAAATTAGTAGGTAGAATTTTTCTAGTTAGCAGAATAAAATATCAAGTATGCACTATTAGATGATTCATCAAGTACATTTCTTGAATAAATGAGAGCTCCACCTCCTAATTCTACAATGAGGTTGTATAGCCCTTAATAGATGGTTGTCATGTTACGCTTAGATTAGTTTTCATTTAGGAATAACCAAAATCTGATAGAGATGTATCTAATTATGCAAATAGTGTTTAAAAGTGGTAAACATAACGAAAACAACATAATAGATCCACTAATTTTACTACCTCAAAATACGGTATTTTGAAGTTTATAAATTACATTTTAATCTTCAAAATCCAGTGTGATAGGCATGTCCTGATACCAATTGTAGACGATAATTATGTCGGTACTGTGTATAAGAGCCTGAAGAAATAAGATCTGAACCTTCGGGATGACTTAGGAGACGCATTAATAGTCCATGTAAGAAATAAGAATGATGAAATCGCTCCACGAATGTTGAAAAATGACTTGAATGTACTATCTTGATGCCACTGATAATTTAACGTCAACTCACCCACCTTCCCACCTAAACACAAACCATCCCGCCACTTTTCTGAATAGTCATGTAGAATGCAATGTGCACCCTCACCGTACTTTTGACTTCACTCCTTAGTTAATACCAGTTTGATTCTTGAGCATCAATCCATCCCAACCCTGATTATGTGATTGTCAAAAAAGCCCCTTCGCCAGCCCGTGGCCCAGTGGTTAAGTTCGCGCACTCCGCTTCAGTGGCCCAGGCTTTCACCAATTTGGATCAAGGGCCCCGACATGGCACCGCTCATTAGGCCATATTGAGGTGGTGTCCCACATGCCACAATTAAAAGGACCCACAACTAAAATATACAACTATATACTTGGGAGATTTGGGAAGAAAAAGCAGAAAAAAAAAAGATTGGCAACAGTTGTTAGCTCAGGTGCCAATCTTTAAAAAAAAGAAAAAGAGCCCCATTCACAATGGTATTAGCACATAAAGAGCCATATTAAAATATCAGAGACCAAAGGTTCTACTTTGGATCCTCATTTGATACAGTTGATGGCAGGAAAAGAAAGCAAGGAATATTTTTGACAGATAAATGTAAGAATTAAATTTAATAGGACACATCCATGATAGCCCTCTGTAGATATTTCAGCATAATCTTTTTCTATGTACAAGTTAATCATGTGCTAAATGCCATCACACACTAAAATTTGTTTTCCTGAATGCACAGGTACCTCTGTTCTACAGGTGACAGCTACTGATGCCGATGACCCTACCTATGGAAATAGCGCTCGGGTGGTTTACAGTATTCTCCAGGGACAACCCTACTTCTCCGTAGATCCCAAAACAGGTTAGTGCATTTACGTATAATTTGTGCGCAGATGCATGCTACGATAAAAGAAAGCCCTATTTTTATTTCCGTGTACATTTCTACATCAGATGTTATTTTAGCACATTTAGAAATGCCTTCACTTTTGTAAAACAATGTGATTGGATAACTGAAGATGAATTAACTGCTTTCCTTCATATTTTGATTATTTATTATTTATACTGCTACTAGTAAAAATCTTTTTATCTTTGCATATTTTTTACATTTAAATAAATGTTCCCTATTTAATACAGAGTGTTACATAATACTTGGTTATGTACTCCAACTATGAAGTATTAGATAAAACGAGATTTTCAAGTGTATTATTTGTTTTGTTTACATATTAATTTTACTTCTTTGCCAAAGAGAGTACATTTTTCCATACTTTATTTGAATTTGATTGTCACAAAAAGTGATATATATATGACATTACGTACATATGACATTACATTACATCGTTGCATTGAGGGAATTCTTTAGCCCTCATGTGTTGTGTTATGTAAAAGAAATTAACTGAAAATAAAGCCAAAGAAATATGAACATTTTTTTCAGGAAAAATATGAATTCTGCTCTCTTTCTTCTCTTTTCTCTGGACAAAACAATCATATCATATTATATTATGTGATGCCAAAATGAAATGAAGGGTACTCAATAATGCATTATAGGATTATGTTACAGCAGCATAATCTAAAAACCACAAAAAGCTCATGGCCGCATTAAGAAACAGTTTGTTAATAAAAACTTGGCTAAATATAAACCCGTTTTTAATGAAGCCAAATGTTCAGTAAGAAATGTCTCAAGTTTTATGAATAATTTCAAAGATATACGTATCATGAGACATAGATGAAGCAGAGAGAGATCCAGGATGTTCCAGCATCTCCCTACATCCTCTGGTCATGTTAGATACACTCTGAATCAGGTTAACATGTGGGATCTTCAAGTAAAGGGCACAGTAACATAACTAACACAAAATAGAGCCGTGTTTAGTCATAAACATCTCTTTATAATCATGTAAATACATAGCATACAACACATTTTTCGGGGAACCTTGATCCATAAGTGTATAGATTCCAGGTTTGTTAACCATTATCTTAGGCAATCAGGTACATCCACCTGAAAAGATGCTCTAAACAGCATACTCCCAATACCTAATACCACCAGATTGTTTACTAGGAGTGTTGTCATCATGTTTACAAGAAGATTTGACCAGATGACTTACCTTCTTTCTTTGCCTGGTGTGCTTCAACACATAAGTACACTGGGTAAGAATAGATCTCAGACATGCTGCAAAACCTTTGAATTTCCATAATTTAAGAAGAAAACAATGAAGAATGTATATAGATATGTAAATGAAGAATATACACATATACATACATATCCATATCTTATATACACTATAAGTATAATATAAATGATCATACATAATTAAATGAAGTAAAAAACAGAACTTGGGAGATAAAAATAAATAATATAATGTGACTTAAAATAAGTATGAGATATGCAAATTCTTTTAGTGCCAAGATATTATTAAATATTTAGAAGTAAAAATGTTTATTAACCAAATAATCAAGGTTATGGGACAAAAATGTTCATACATACCTGTACACATTATTGCTCTGGTAGGAGGGTTTAGAATTATTTGTCAATCTTAAAACAATGTTTGATCTTAGTATTGCTTATTTTGTTCTTTTTTCCCAATAACCGTGGTGGTTTTGTAAGTGAAAGAAGTATATTTTTCCCTTTAAATATGCATCTCCCTAGAGGAAAGAAACAAGGACGCTATGTTCCAATTACCTTGTTTAAGATCACACACGCACATACGTGAGCATGCGTGCACACACATGTACGCATGTGCAGACACACATGGCTTTAGTCCATTCACTGTCGCTTTACATGGCCAAATGTTTATTTATAAATAAATATTATATTTACTTAATAGAGTATTGCTGAGTTACAGGCATATTAAATAGATTTATTAAAAATTTCCATACACTTGTTGAACTTGTTAAAAAACAATTACCAATTCTGCATCTGTGTGTGTCGGGGTGAATGTTTGCATGTGTTTGAGTGCGTGTGGGTGTGTGTTTGTGTGTCTATGTGTGTATGCACTTTGAATAGATAAAGCAGGCCACCGAGGATGAGATTTGACTAGTGTTGGACTCTGCTGTAGTGTGTGCTTTAGTGAAGAAAATATATTAGTAACATAATAGTCAAACAAAATTGCATTTGGTTATACATATTTATTATAGGTCAATTAAGTACTTCATTAAACAACAAAATTTTATCTGGAACATAAATAAACTGCAATTGGAATACTGCTCTATGAAATTTTCTTTCTCTTACAAGTCTTTGCTCCTTTCGTTAAGTGAAATGATTTATTGAAAGAACTACATGCCTCCATGTTGATACATTTTAATTTCAATATTATAGTGACTGAAGCATCATGGGAATCTCTGAAGATATGTCCTAGTATAAAGATTCTTTAAATATGCAAATCTCTTAGACAGTTGTCTGTAGAAAGTGGTAAGTGGGGTTATAAAACCAAATACTCATTATTCTCTCCAAAGCCAAGATCTTTTGGTAATTTATGCTTAAAAGACCTATTACTGTGTAATTAAACATCCTCAGAATGAATTTAGTTGAAATTGTGCTTGCTTAAAATGACTGGAATAAAATACAGATAAAACAGTAAAAACTAAAGAATCAGTTGCCATGGATGGGATGTTACACAAGAAGTGTTGGGATAGCAGTTACTTATAAAGGTACATTTTAATAGTATAACTTTTCTTCTATCCTCTCATTTGTCATGACTCTATTTCAAAATGTCTCCTATTATTTTCAATGCAGACTAATTGTAATAAGAAACAAATATAATAAGTTTGTGCCCAAATAGAATTGTGAGTGCTTATGGTTAAGATCAGGACTTTGGATCACTTTGTTTCCATTGTTAAAATGTACCTTTGGGTACTTACGATGATTTCCAATAATGAGCTGCCAATGAAACTTGCTTTCTATTATGTAAACCATCTATGAATGACGTTATCCAGAGAAATGAATTGCGTGACTCTTGAGTTACTATATTGTACATAATTGGTTTAATGAAGTCTGTATTGTTTTACATTGAAATTCCATAAATCAGGATGATGAAATATAAATCTTGTGAATAATTTATTGTTTTAAAGAAGTTTTGCTGAGGTAACTATTTCATGATGTTTGCGTAATGTATAACAACAGAAGAGGAATGCCCATTAAAAAGTGATATTTTAACATTAACTACCATTTGAAAGATGCAGACTATGAAAGAATAAACTAGAGATAACAATGAAATATAGAAGCCATATAATATATTTGGCCAGAATCATGTAAGAAGGCTTATTAGTGTAGGCTTAATGAGGATAATTTTATTTGAATATATTATTTTTAATTCAGCAGGAAAATACTTTTAGATTTATTAAGTGAAGGAACCATTTCAATGTTCATGAAAACAACTAACCCAAGCAAGGCATTTTGAGGAAGACTGCTGAATGAGCGAGCCTTATGAAGTGGCAGAGAACCAAAGTCAAGAGAAATCTGGGCTCATTGGTTGTTTATTAACACTAATCTCAATCCTAGTCCAGTTAATCTAGGGTAAACTGGACTAAAAATAAATCAAAGGGCCAGCCCGGTGGTGTAGCAGTTAAGTTTGCTTTGGCGACCCGGCGTTCTCTGGTTTGGATCCTGGGTGCAGACCTAGGCACCACTGGTCAAGCCATGCTGGGGCAGGCCTCCCACATATAAAATAGAGGAAGATGAGCACGGATGTTAGCTCAGGGCCAGTCTTCCTCAGCAAAAAGAGGAGGATTGGTGGCAGATGTTAGCTCAAGTCTAATCTTTCTCAAATCAATAAATCAATGTGTTCAAGCTTTCTATACCTCTTTAGAAACTGCAGAATTTCTGTCAGATGGTGACAGCAGAAGCTGAGTGATTGAGTTGCAATGCTACAAAAAGGAACTACTTCTCTTGACTTAGCTCAAAGACAAAGCCACAAATCCACCATGTATCTTTTTAGGATCTTAGAATGGGAATTACACAAGAGGCAGGTGTGCCATTTTTAACTGAGAATGCAAATCTCTTAATGGTCATGACATTTCTACCCATTGATGATTCTCTCTACTAGCTATTTCATAGTCAATAACTTATGAATTACTTCACCTTATTTTAGATATTGCATATGTGTTAAGTTCTGCCTGTGTCTATTTCCCACAAATATGTTGAGTCCTCCTCATAGTCACCTCTGGAAACATGGAAACCTAGATTAAAATCTGATATCAGGGAAAACAGAGGGATATGTGGCTTTACAAAATCTTAGTTAAGCTTTATTTATGATTGTTTACCTGCTAACAATGGTGAATATCAGCTATTTTGATGATAAATAGCATGAAACATACACATCAGCAATGGTCACTCCTAGTGTTGCATAAATCATGTGTACAGTGGCTTTTTGCCACACACCTAATAAAGACTTTTAGGACATTTATGCATTTAATATTGATGTGTTTACTTTTTAACTTGTGAATCATTTTGATTATAATCTTTATATATTTTTACTTATTAAAGAATGAATATTTAATTGGAAAATATAGCAGCTGAAAGCATTTCTGTTGATAAATACTACATTTAATTTTCAGGTACATAAAAATAATAAGACTAGAAAGACTGCATGTTAATTATCTACGGAGAGCATACCAGATATTGCTTTCTTCAACACTTCAAGTATATTTTAGCATTAGAGTAGTTTCTGCTACGTGTCAAAAAAGGGTGGATATTGGCTTTCAAATCTCTTCTCAGTCAAATTCTTCTGCACTAATAGCATCTATTCCACAGGGCACAGGACACTTGACATCAAATAAAGCACATTGCATCGAACGGTACTTCTCAGTTCTAAAGGCACAGATAATATCATTACTTATTTTTATAAGACACTGTTGGAAATATAATAAACA